TTTTTTTTTTTTCTTTTTTCCTCATCTTTTCTGGCTCCCTTTTCTGGGCTGCCATGTTGGTCATTTTCGCCAAAAATCCACCGTCTTTTTTTTCCGAAGCTCAACCTTGGCGGGCACGACAGAGCCAACGACCCGATGCAGCAGGTCCGATCTCAGTCATAACCACCCGGTCTAACACTGCAAGGCGGCGCGTTTGCCGCGTCTGGAAGCTCAGGCGCTCTTCTACGCGAAATGCAGCGCCGACAAGGGTTCATCGGATGCACCTTCTCGCCTTTCTCCACCGGGCCGTCGACGTCCCCACTCTCTGCGCCCCACCACCAACACAGCCACAGTGCGTCGACTTTGCAGAAGCACAACCAGGCAAAGCGTCTACACACACCGCACCACACTGCACTTTCGGGGACCACCACACGCTGGAACGTCCATCATGTCGCAGACACTGACACTGCATCCCGTCACGGCCTTCACGTTTACCACCAAGGAGGCGCAGCCGGAAGAAGACCCGTCGGTGGCAGCGCGGCTGCAGCGGCTTCAGAACAACTATGAGGATCTCGGCATGAGGCGGACTGTCGAAGCGGTGCTGGTGGTGCACGAACATGGACATCCGCATGTGCTCATGCTCCAAATCGCAAACGCCTTCTTCAAGCTGTAAGTGCCTCAACCACACCGAAAGATCGGCGGAGAAGAATACACAACTGACGGAGAGATTGTGGCTTCTGGTGGGGGACTTAGACCGGGAGACTACCTAAAGCCAGGCGAGGATGAGGTGGAAGGTATGAAGGCTCGACTGGACGAGAGACTCAGTCCGGTCGAAAGCGATCCTGCCTCTTTTGGCCCTAATGGCGAAGGACGAAACAAGGACGATGGCGACTGGGAGATTCAGGACTGCCTAGCCCAGTGGTGGAGACCCAACTTTGAAACATTCATGGTAAGCATCCTGCCCTCCCTCTTTTGTTGCTTGATTGCGTTGACTTAGCGTGTGCTGTTGGTAGTATCCGTATGCACCACCGCACGTTACCAAGCCGAAAGAATGCAAGAAACTCTTCCTCGTCACAATCCCCCCCACCAGTAAGTCCCCCTCTCCCTCGCTGCCCACACCAGCAGAACCAAGGCTGACCTTTGAATGGGCGTGCAGAGGTACTGGCCGTACCCAAGAACATGAAGCTGTTGGCTGTTCCCCTGTTCGAGTTGTACGATAACTCGCAACGTTACGGTCCACAGCTCGCCGCCATCCCCCATCTGCTCTCCAGATACAACTTTATCTACTCGGATTGATCGCCCAGCACTCCAATCTAATCGTACTTGGCCAGGATGCTCCCTTCGCGTGTGCTCACTCGGTGTACAGACGCGGACCTTTGTCCGTCTCGCTGCCCCTCTCGCCAGAATGTCGCTGTACAACAGCTCAGCCAGCAGACCTCGAGCTCCGACAGACGTCGAGCAAAGTGAACACCCCACTTCCGAGGCGCCAGCATAGTCAAGGACTCGCCTGCTCCAACCCTGGCCTCAGCACAGCAAAGTGAACCGAGGTTGAACGAGATGCGCAAACGGCGGGCCGCACGCAGCGACGCACTTGAGATTGCTTGATTGCAAAAAAAGCTAAACGGTACTAGTACAGATGGGTTTGGATGTGGGGTTTTGTAGTGTAGCATGACGACGGACAGGTTCGGTGAAGAGAGGGGTGAGAGGAGGAGCGGCGTAGCAGCCACGCACCAGCGGTGATGCAGAGACCAGCGCTTCGAGTGGCTACTGCGCCAAAGAGAGATTCCCATGCCTACGATGGCGAACGTTCCAGAGAAGTGCGCAGAGCGCCACGAGGGTCTATGCCCACCGTCCAGCGCTCCGTCACAACGAGTGCACAGAGCGATGGAGCGGAGGGATGCGGGTGCGGGAGGCGATCGAGGGATAGAGGGAGGCACGAGGCTACAGCGATCAAGGACGTCGACGTCGAGCCGCTCGCCTTGATCCACTGCGAGCCTCAGGTTTGAATGCTGCGAGACTGCTGTTGGTTGTGGAGTCGGTGGTGACGGTGATTAGGAGAATCGTGGCGAAAGAAAGAGTTGATGCTGCTGAGATGGTGGGGGTAATTTAGAAAGAGGTCGATCGCGCCGATCAGGGCTTGCGGAACTCGGCCAGCACAGGTAAGATGAGATTGAACGCCTGGTAAATCTCTTCTCGCACCTTGGCACCGGTGAGCACAATCTTGCCCGACACAAAGATGAGCAGAACGACCTTGGGCTTGACCATGCGGTAGATCAGACCGGGGAACAGCTCGGGCTCGTACGACGAGTACACACCGTGGCTGTATGCCAGGCCCTCGAGACGGATGGGGAAGCGCACGTCGCACGAGCCGACAATGTTCTGGATCTTGAACTCGCTGAACTTGGCCTCGAACCCGAGCTTCTGGATGATGCGGGCGTACTTTCGGCTCGCAAGACGGCTGTCGTCTTCCGACTTGGCACCCGTGACCACCATCTTGCCCGAGGCAAAGATGAGTGCCGTGGTCTTGGGCTCGCGGATACGCATGATGACGGCGGCGAATCGCTTGGGATTGTACTCGGCGTTTCGTGCGTGCAGCGCGATCGTCTTGAGATCCAAGCGGACCTCGAGGTTGACCGTGGCCACAATGTTTCTACGAACGGCGGGACCGGACGAGTGTCAATACAAGCTTCTACCAATCTCCACAGACCATGACTCGTAGTAACGACGTGCACTCCGCCAGCAGAGCGACGAAAGCCGATGGTCAGGGGGAACCAGATACTCACTGCAACGTGGGCACGATACCGTGCACACCCGAGATGCCCTGGTCGAGACCGGCGTCCTTGCCGACGTTGGCGACCTTCTTGTCATCGTCGCCAGCTCCGTTGCCCTTGGGCAGAGCACCGGAAGAGGGTTGGCCCTTGATGCCATTGGCACCGTTGGTGCTACCCGAACCGGGCAGAGCGACACCGCCGAAAGCCATGTTTGATGATGTTGGAGATGACGGACGTAGACAGAGGATCGGACGAGGAAGGGTTGGCGCGGGCTGAACGAGTGCGGGCGTCAAAGAGGTGCGGCGGGGTATGCGCTGAGTTGCAACGCGAAGTGCGGAATGCGATGCGGGAGGCCGAGGTGTTGAGGCTGATGGCGTCCACGCACACGGGAGCGGGTCGTCGAATTCACAAAGAGAAACGGGGCAAAGCTACCGATGGCGGCTGCTGAGCGACAGATGAGGCTACGTGCGCTCGAAGGGGGCACAAAGGGGGGGCCGGGATCGGCGGATGACTGGTGATGAGCCGGTCAAGTTTTTGGTAATGGATGCGATTGCAAACGAGAAATGTCGTGTGCCCAAAGTCGATTCCGATTGCACGGATTCAGGCGATCAACAGTGAAGGTGATGTCTGAGGCAAAAGGAGGATCAAGGCACAACGATGTCCCCCGTCGACAAATCAGAACGGTCGGTCGATGCTGCTGGGTGCCCAGAGTAGGAAGGCGGAGGCGGGACTGTCGTCGGTCAAGGCAACGGTCGGTCGCGGCAGAACAAAGGCGAGTCACTGAAGACCTCTTTGATCGTGCGGCGATGCGGAGTCAAGCTGCAACAAGGCTTGGGCGATGCTGGAACCTAACGGCAGGGATGGTGCGAGGATGAAATGCCAACCAGATGCAAGAACAAGCTGTAATGCCTATGATGGGGCGGATACAGGCTCGAAAAGCAGGGCGAGAGCAGCAGGGATCGCGTAGACTGAGTGTCGAGCGGATGGATGTGGTGGGAAGGGAAGGCGGAAAATTCGGATTCGAATTCGGGGGGATGCGTCCGGAACCACCTGGGGTTTATATACAAGTCGCCCTTCCGCACCTCTGACACCGCTCAGCCGCTGGAAAATTATCGATGAGGCACTTGAGCAGAGGGAATCCAACTCGAAAAAACCCGCAACGGCGCTCTCCAGCCTTGTTTGGCTGACGCGTCACCTCAGCCATGGCTGAGTCGAGCCGACCGATTTGAATTTTTGAATTTTTGTAATTGCTCGTTCGATTGAGTGAGTCGGCTGAATAGAGCGGTGAGGGGCTGCATAGAAAGGCTTTGTATTCAGCCCACATGCGGAGCGATTAGAGACGTGTCCGAGGCTCCGCACGCGCTGGGTAGAACCTCTTCCGACGCGGATTCACGCGAGTAGCCTCAGACAGGCGAGCGCGCGTGCTACGCCCGATCTTGTTAGGCCGAGCGACTGGCTGCCGCTCCCGCCCGCGACAGCCATGCTGTAGCCATGGCGACAAAGCCGTCCGCGCTCAGAAGCCAAAGCTCTCGGTGATAAGGGTGAGACCGTGAAGGCTGGCCAGCTTGGCGCGCGCAATGTCGCTTTGAACGCGCACCGCCGCATTCGAGGCGTCCTCGACCATGCCGGTGGGCCCACAAACGACGACGGCCGCGGTTGACGAGCTGCATGCTCGCTCGTGCTCTGGGCTGCTCGGCGTCTTTTCGATGCCGCCCGCTTCAGGAACCGGCGGGCTCGTAGTGTTTGATGCCAATTCATGGACGAGCGATGCGGCGTCGGGACGGACGCCCCATTGCAAGTCCCAGGCTGCTGGCAGATCCAGGTTGCGGGACGATGCGGCAGGGTCGCTGACGAAGATCGAGACTTGCAACGAACCTGGTGGGGCAAGGGCATGGACGGCGATAAGGTGCTCGCGAGCCCATGAAATTGCTTGTTCATCTCGCACCGACCAGACGAGGTGGACTCGACGAGTCGCTGCTGCTTTCTGCTCCCAGAGCCACGCCAGCTCGAGAAGTGAGGCGAGCACAAAGGTGATGCCGCTGCCTCCTGCTAGCAAAAGGACGTGGTCGTAGCCTGCGATACTTGCGTCTTGTCCATAGGGGCCATCGAGAATGGCCGAAAGCGTGGATGCGCTGGGTCCGGACTGCGCCGTGGACGCGAGCTCGTAAAGCTGCTTGGTGAGGCCGTTGCGTGCCTTGGCCATCAAGACGACCGTCGACACGAGCTGCTGCTCGTCGGGCGCGGGCATGGACACGATGGTGAATGGATGTGCGGTGAGTGGCGCAAGCCCCGGAAAGCGCACAAAGACGTGCTGACCGGGCCTCCATCGCATGGTCGAGTCAACGGTGATCTTGGCGAGGCTGCAGGGAAGAGCCTCGATGCGGCACCTGGAAAGGGTGAGGAAGCTGTTTTGGCGCAGCTGCATGGCGAAGCGCAAGAAGACGGACAGCATGTACATGGCTGCCGTGGCCCACAGATACCTCCACGAGGTGAGCATGGCCTGGCAGTGCACAAACATGTAGCCGAGAAAGACGACGGCCACAGGCACGTGGATGAGCAGGAAGAGCTCGTAGCACCGCTCGCGAATGGAAGTCATGCTCGCAAACGAGAGCACAAAGAGACAGGCATATGCGATGACGCCCGTGGTGTTGATGCTGTCCGAGAAGAACGTCTCTCGCAGGCCCTCGACGCCGCCGTCGGCCAAAGGTTGGTGGATGAAAGGGAGCGCATGGACGGTGGAGAGGAAAAGCATGAATCGAGCCAGCCACTGGTGGTACACCTGAAGCTTCTCGTGACTCACGCCGGTGAGCAGCGAGATGAAGTTGACCTTGGAGCCCAGCACGTAGATGAAGGGCATGAGGCCGAGCGCCATCATGCCTGAGCGCAGCGCAAGCGGTGGACTGCCGAAGCTGCGATCCACACGGTAGTAGGGCTGCACGACGAACGTCCAGATGGTGAAGCCGAGCATGAAGGCACTCATCGCTAGCGTCGCGCCGAGCACAGGTAGTCTCAAGTTGATGAGACCCAAGCGGTAGCTGGGCAGGCGACGGTACGCCAGCACACGCAGGGCGGCAACGACGCGAGCCCAAGGACCGGGCCGCGACTTTGAGGCTTTCGGGCCAGCATCGCTGGGGTTTGCGAGGTAGGAGCGGCGGGATTGTTGCCAGCGAGAACGAAGAGTAGCAAGCGCGTAGATGGCAATGATGATCGAGAGCGTGGCGACGATCCCTTTGGTGTACTTGGGCTGGCCTATCCACGGGTCGCCGGTGCGTGTGTTTTGGAGGAGGCCGATGCCTGCCGTGCTTGGCGAACCGTGTCGCCGTTCCAGTGTCATGCCTATTGTGTGCCAGCCAGGAGATCGAGGGGAGGATGGTGGTAGCTATCTGACAAGACTTGATGCAAAAGCGACCCACCTTCTAAGGGGACCGAGCCCACCAGCACCTGCAACACGGACCCCTCGGAGCGTTTGCGGGATGGCATTGTCTGGCGGCTCGGACCCTTTTTTTCGGCAGGAGGCTGCCGTGC